TCTTTTCTGATTTGGATTCCTTTTATTTCTTTTCCTTCTCTGATTGCTGTGGCTAAAACTTCCAAAACTATGTTGCATAACAGTGGTGAGAGTGGACACCCTTGTCTTGTTCCTGATGTTAGAGGAAACGGTTTCAGTTTTTCACCATTGAGAACGATGTTGGCTGTGGGTTTGTCATATATGTCCTTTATTATGTTGAGGTAAGTTCCCTCTATGCCTACTTTCTGGCGGATTTTTATCATAAATGGGTGTTAAATTTTGTTGAAAGCTTTTTCTGTATCTATTGAGATTATCATGTGGTTTTTATCCTTCAGTTTGTTAATATGGTGTATCACATTGATTGATTTGTGTATATTGAAGAATCCTTGCATTCCTGGGATAAACCCCACTTGATCATGGTGTATGATCCTTTTAATGTGCTGCTGGATTCTGTGTGCTAGTATTTTGTTGAGGATTTTTGCATCTACGTTCATCATTGATATTGGTCTGTAGTTTTCTTTTTTTGTGACCTCTTTGTCTGGTTTTGTTATCAGGGTGATAGTGGCCTCATAGAATGAGTTTTGGAGTGTTCCTCCCTCTGTTATGTTTTGGAAGAGTTTGAGAAGGATAGGTGTTAGCTCTTCTCTAAATGTTTGATAGAATTCACCTGTGAAGCCATCTGGTCCTGAGCTTTTGTTTGCTGGAAGATTTTTAATCACAGTTTCAATTTCAGTGCTCGTGATTGGTCTGTTTATATTTTCTATTTCTTCCTGGTCAGTCTCAGAAGCTTGTGTTTTTCTAAGAATTTGTCCATTTCTTCCACATTGTCCATTTTATTGGCATATAGTTGTGTGTAGTAGTCTCTCATGATCCTTTGTATTTCTGCAGTGTCAGTTGTTACTTCTCCTTTTTCGTTTCTAATTCTATTGATTTGAGTCTTCTCCCTTTTTTTCTTGATGAATCTGGCTAATTGTTTGTCAATTTTGTTTATCTTCTCAAAGAACAAGCTTTTAGTTTTACTGATCTTTGCTATTTTTTCCTTCATTTCTTTTTCCTTTATTTCTGATCTTATTTTTATGACTTCTTTCCTTCTGCTAACTTTGGGGTTTTTTTGTTGTTCTTTCTCTAATTGCTTTAGGTGTAAGGTTATGTTGTTTAGTTGAGATGTTTCTTGTTTTTTAAGGTAGGATTGTATTGCTATAAACTTCCCTCTTAGAACTGCTTTTGCTGCATCCCATAGGTTTTGGGTCATTGTGTTTTCATTGTCATTTGTTTCTAGGTATTTTTTGATTTCCCCTTTGATTTCTTCAGTGATCTCTTGGTTATTTAGTAGTGTATTGTTTAGCTCCATGTGTTTGTATTTTTTACAAATTTTTTTCCTGTAATTGTTATCTAGTCTCATAGAGTTGTGGTCAGAAAAGATAGTTGACATGATTTCAATTTTGTTAAATTTACTAAGGCTTGATTTGTGACCCAAGATATGATCTCTCCTGGAAAATGTTCCATGAGCACTAGAGAAGAAAGTGTATTCTGTTGTTTTTGGATGGAATGTCTTATAAATATCAATTAAGTCCATCTTGTTTAATGAATCATTTAAAGCTTGTGTTTCTTTAAATATTTTCATTTTGGATGATCCGTGCATTGGTGTAAGTGGAGTGTTAAAGTCCCCTACTATGATTGTGTTACTGTCGATTTCCCCCTTTATGGCTGTTAGCATTTGCCTTATGTATTGAGGTGCTCATATGTTGGGTGCATAAAGATTTACAATTTTTATATCTTCTTCTTCGATTGATCCCTTGATCATTATGTAGTGTCCTTCTTTGTCACTTGTAATAGTCTTTATTTTAAAGTCTATTTTGTCTGAAATGAGAATTGCTACTCCAGCTTTCTTTTGATTTCTGTTTGCATGGAATATCTTTTTCCATCCCCTCACTTTCACTCTGTATGTGTCCCTAGGTCTGAAATGGGTCTCTTGTAGACAGCATATATACAGGTCTTGTTTTTGTATCCATTCAGGCAACCTATGTCCTTTGGTTGGAGCATTTAATCCATTTACATTTAAGGTATCAATATGTATGTTCCTGTTACCATTTTCTTAATTGTTTTGGGTTTGTTATTGTAGGTTCTTCCCTTCTCTTGTGTTTCCTGCCTAGAGAAGTTCCTTTAGCATTTGTTGTAAAGCTGGTTTGGTGGTGCTGAATTCTCTTAGCTTTTGCTTGTCTGTAGAGGTTTTAATTTCTCCATGGAATCTGAATGTGATCCTTGCTGGGTAGAGTAATCTTGGTTGTAGGTTTTTCCCTTTCATCTCTTTAAATATGTCCTGTCACTCCTTTCTGGCTTGCAGAGTTTCTGCTGAAAGATCAGCTGTTAACTTTATGGGGATTCCTTTGTGTGTTATTTGTTGTTTTTCCTTTGCTGATTTTAATATTTTTTCTTTGCATTTAATTTTTGATAGTTTGATTAATATGTGTCTTGGCATGTTTCTCCTTGGATTTATCCTCTATGGGACTCTCTGGACTTCCTGGACTTGATTGACTATTTCCTTTCCCTTATTAAGGTAGTTTTGAACTATAATCTCTTCAAATATTTTCTCCGTCCCTTTCTTTTTCTCTTCTTCTTCTGAGACCCCTATGATTTGAATGTTGTTGCATTTAATGTTGTCCCAGAGGTTTCTGAGATTGTCCTCAATTGTTTTCATCCTTTTTTCTTTATTCTGCTCTGCAGTAGTTATTTCCAGTATTGTTTCTTCTAGGTCACTTATCCATTCTTCTGCCTCAGTTATTCTGCTATTGATTCCTTCTAGATAATTTTTAATTTCATTTGTTGTGTTGTTCATCATTGTTTGTTTGTGCTTTAGTTCTTCTAGGTCCTTGTTAAACATTTCTTATATTTTCTCCATTTTGTTTTGAAGATTTTGGATATCTTTACTATCATTACTCTGAATTCTTTTTCAGGTAGACTGCCTATTTCCTCTTCATTTGTTTGGTATTGTGGGTTTTTATTTTGCTCCTTCATCTGGTGTGTGTTTCTCTCTCTTCTCATTTTGATTAACCCACTGTGTTTGGGGTTTCCTTTTTGCAGGCTTCAGTTTCGTACTTCCTGTTGCTTTTGGTGTCTGCCTCCAGTGGCTAATGTTGGTCAGTGGGTTGTGTAGGCTTCCTGGTGGTGGGGACTGGTGCCTGTGTTCTGGTGGATGAGGCTGGATCTTGTCTTTCTGGTGGGCAGGAATGCATCCGGTGGTGCGTTTTAGGGTTTCTGTGACCTTATTATGATTTTAGGCAACCTTTATGCTAATGAGTGGGATTGTGTTCCTGTCTTGCCAGTTGTTTGGCCTAGGGGGTCCAGCACTTTAGCTTGCTGGTGCTACAGTGCTGGAGACAGTTGAGGGGAGCTGGGTCTTAGTATTGAGATGGAGATCTCTGGGAGAGATTTTGCCATTTGATATTACATGGAGCCAGAAGGTCTCTGGTGGAGCAATGTCCTGATCTCAGCTCTCCCACCTCAGAGGCACAGGCCTGACACCTGGCCGGAGGACCAAGATCCTGTCAGCGACCCAGATTTTGGGAAGTCTGAGGTCTTCTGCCAGCATTCAGTAGGTGTTCTGTAGTAGTTGTTCCACATGTAGATGTATTTCTTATGTGTTTGTGGGGAGGAAGATGATCTCCACGTCTTACTCCTTCGCCATCTTGAAGGTCTCCTTCCACATTCTCTTTTTAAAAAGCAATCATTGATTGTTAGTAGGTTCTGCTGTTCTGATATCTATAAAGTGCAGTGTTAAAATTTTTGTCCTTGTTACTGTTAAGAGCATTGTTTTAAGTATGTAATAGCTGCTATTCCATCATATTTGAATATTTTGTGCAAGCATATGGTAAAATAGTTCCAAAATCTCTTGTGTGTCACATAGTTTGTCTTTGAAGAATAATGATGAAAGTGACCAGGTATCTTTCTGCAATGTCTAGTAATTCTTTTATATTGTGCTATAACTACTTTCCATAAATACAACAGAGAGGATGAGCAAAAATTCAATGCTGTTGATTTCTAAATTACCCATAGCCTTCTGCATATCTGTTCCATTCTCAGTGATAACTACATGATACTCTTTTTAAAAATTTATTTATTCATTTATTTTTTTGGCTGCGCTGGGTCTTTGTTGTGGCATGCAGGCTCTGTGGCGCACGGGCTTCTCTAGTTGCAGCGCACGGGCTTAGTTGCGGTATGTGGGATCATAGTTCTCCCACCAGGGATCGAACCCAGGCCCCCTGCATTGGGAGCGCTGAGTCTTAACACCTGGACCACAAAGGAAGTCCCTAGATGATACTTTTAAAAGTTGATTTTCTATTGAATAAATATTTAGAATTTTTGAAATGTTAATGGAGACCTAAAAATTTCAGCAAACAAAGCAGTAGAAGGATTTTATTCATCATGTATCCACCAGGCTATGAAACTTAGGTCTTGTAGTTGTTTCTATATATCCAAATCTCTGATTACAAGATAGAGAAGTACCACATTTAATAATAATCATAATTATTGTAACAATTAACCCTTACAACAATAAATATTTATATAATTTAATTGACTGAGTTAAAAGTATAAAGCATTTAAGGAAATTTTCATTCCGATTAATATTTAGAATGCTTACTTGTATTTGTCAGTGAATAGTTGCATATTGACAGTAACTCCAAATGATATGTTTTGTTCATAATACTGATGTTGATATACTAAAGAGATTCAATGCCAACCTATGAGGTCACAGGATCATTAATTGCTCCTAAGACCAGGGATGTCAGAAATAATGTAGAAGTATCTATTTGGCTAAAGTCCAATGCCAAAACCAAACTGTGGGTTTTGGCCAAATACTTAGTCTGCAGCCAGACTTTGATGCATCTCTGGTGTTTTCTAGAATTCTACCTTTCCTGTATATTGCTCTTTTGGTAATGTTATACTATGAAGCAACAGTAATCATAGGCTTTTAAAAGTATTCCACTATATAGCTTAAAACTGTTGTCTTTTTTTTTAATCAGAGTGTGCAAGCAAGCAGAATTTTATTTGAGAAATTTACATCTGAAAGCAAGGAAAGTGTCATTACTTTAAATCAACATAGGAGAAGTTCTAGGGTAAGTATAATTTTTATTCTAAATTATGGGTTGGTGGCTTTATGTGACTACAGTTCAGATATTATTTCTAGCGATTTCAGAAATAATTTCTTGATGCTTCCTCATTCTGGGAAATGCCTCAGAATATTCACTAGTGTCTTTGCAGAGGACATGTTTCCTCTTTCAAATCTGTGGTCTTTATGACACTCAGAAGATGTTATTTACTAATCAATAGCAGGATATCTGCTGTGAGTTTTCCTAAAATTCCTAAAATGTCTGGGTTTGCACTCATTTATCACTGCTTGCCCAGGTCTTAAATGATCAAAGGAACATGTTTATGAATCTTTTGACCAAATGCAGGGAGGGAATTGTTTATGGCTATGAAACAGAGTAAAACTGAATTCTCTAAATGGTGATTGGACTCATGCCCATGACATTATTATCCCTACAGTGTATCTAAATAAACTAATTAATAAACACAATTGGAGAGAAAAGAGATAGCAATTGAGGGAAGAAGAAAGGTATGAAATTTATATTAGTGGTTTAATAAATATCTTGTACTTTATGAGGGACAAACAAGAAAGGGTTTTATTTTTCTTTCCTTAAGGCCTTCAGCCCTTACTCCCCTTGGTGATATCTTGGGATGCTGAGTGTCACATAGTAGAGAGCCTTATTGACCTAGGACAAGTCAAATCCCCATTCTGGTCAGTTACACTAGGTTTAATATGTGTCTGTGCCGCCTTTCGTATTCCCCATACAGTCAGGTAATACTTATTTTTGGAGTAATATTTCTATTTAATATAGATCACTTTTGCTGTTTTTAACATATATCATTATTGCTTATTAAATATTTGTCCTCATATATGTTTTATCTTATTTTTCATTAGTCTGAGTGATATGGGGGTCATATCATTCTTGTTTTATCCACAGCACCTAGAACAGTGACCATCACTTAAAAACATAATTGAACCAACAAATGACACTTTCTAGTTTGGAATGCATAGACTACTCTAGTAGCATTACTTACACCTATCTGTCAGATATTACTGTTTTTAACGGCTGTTTCTAATCCATCCTCCCTATTGTCCCCTGCAATGTTCTTAAAACACAGGTGTAATTACAACACTCAATCTCAACAAACTGAATAACTCCACCTATCAAAGTCAGAGTGCTTAACTAAGCCTCATAACCTGGCCTTGACTATATTTTCTATCTTACCTCTCATTATGCTTCTGCTTCCATGTAACCCCCAGGTACCCTGTACTCTGCCTGCACCAGAGTCCTTGGGGACTAAAATCCCAGCACCTTGACACTTCTCTGTGCTTGTTTAGGCTATTCCGTTGGCCTGGGATGTTCTCAACCCCTTCTCAGTTTATGAAAATGTCACTACCTTTTACAGGCCAGCCCTAATGCTACCTCTTCAAGCTGGTCAATCCAGGTTCCTTTCCATTCTTAATTGACCTCCACCTCTCCTGTGCTCTCTTTACACCTGATTCATGCTATCTTTACAGTCATTGTTACAGCTGCTTTGGATTATAGTTACTTCTTTATGTCTGTTTCCACCATCATACATGAAATATGTAATTTTTTTTGTACTTTCTACTCTATTTGGTATGTTAGTACTTCACAACTCTTTTAGTATAACAGTTCTCATAGCAAGTAATAATATTTGTGTGGCCTTATGGGGTAAAAGGTTGAGGTTGCTCATGATTTAAAAGAGACTGTTCAGTAGCCACTGAAAAGTAGGAGGAACAGTAGCCACTCCAGGTCCCACTAGTGCAGCCCCAGGGCTAAGAGGATTAATGGCCCAGCATATCTATGGCACATTTACACACACCTGTGCTACTTTCTGGAAACTTTAGTGTTTGTTATATATGTTGAATTAAAAAAATAAGGTAGCTTCCATTATTATATACTTTTCAAAATTAATTGATGGATTTTAAGCTCTGCTCCCATCTGAAGTCAGTGATTACAAAATCAGTAAGAGCCTGTATTTTAATTAGTGTTTCTGCATTTCATTAATTTACTTAAACAGGTATTATTAGCCGATTGTCATATGATATTTTAGTTTACCAAATAGTGCCTAGAGTCAGTGTATATTTGTCATTTGATTATTTCACAGATGTTTTTCCTAAGAAAATCAGCCTCATTTGAAAATATCCAAAAATGTTTCAGCATGCAATCTCCACAATTAAAGGTATGATAATTTTTCAGTTTTTGTTATTCAAAAGAAATGTTTACATTTCTAGTAATAATCACCACCTATGCTTTTTGTTGGCTTTCCTGAAATAATGTGATCACTTGATTCATCCAGAGTTGACTGAAATTTTGGATTCAACTGTGTATTTGGTAGCCCCTGTAAGATTGTTGTTCATAGTGCCAATTGAAGATTTTCAACATCTCTTGGAAGTGTCTCATATTCATACTTTGACTTTACTTGGTATATTATAAATCAAGTCACTTATAATATTGATCTACACTTGCATTGGGCTCACAGTGTTAATACATTTTCATGGACTCTATTCCAGTTTGGTCTTGAGCTACACAATATCCTGATAAGAGGGAAGATGAGATAGATACTATCCTTGTTTTATATATGAAAAAGCAAAGGTCAGAAAGTGGTAAGTGGCAGAGCTAGTACTTAAACCCACACCTTCTCTTACCAAACGCAATGGACTTTCCTCTGCAACAAGAATCCATAAGCGTTTTTGAGTGCTGATCTTACGTTTAGTGGCATTGGCAAATAGCTCCCAGCTTTTGTTTTTCTCTCTGAAATCTGACACTCAGCTTCCTTGATTCTCCATGTTACTTGCTTCTAACTTGCTTTTAACCTGCTTAACTTTAGCTTGCTTCCTATTGCATTTCTGGCATTCTTCTTTCTTACCAACTTTTTGATTTTTCTGTCTTGTATCCCTGTACACTGACACCATCCTTAAGATTTTTCTATTGACATATAACATATGTTATGTATTAATATATATATTATATATTAATATATAACATATATTAATATATATAACATATATAATATAACATATATATTAATATAACATTATATTAGTTTCAGATGTACCACATAATTATTTGGTACCTGTGTATATTGTGAAATGATCATCACAGTAAGTCTAGTTAACATCCATCATCCCACATATTTACACGCAACTTTCAAATATACAATACAGTATTTTAACTGTAATCACCATGCTGTACATTAAATCATTCCCAGGACTTATTTATTTTATAACTAAAAGTTTGTACCTTTTGACCACTACACCCAGTTTGCCCATCTCCTACTCCCTGCCTCTGGCAACCATGAATCTGTTCTCTGTATCTATGAGGGGTTTTTTTTTGTTGTTTGTTTGTTTTTAGATTCTACATATAAGTGAGGTCATACAGTATTTCTCTTTCTCTATCTGACTTATTTCGTTTAGCAGAATGTCTTCAAGGTCCATCCATGTCATTGCCAGTGGCAGGATTTCCTTCTTTTTTATGGCTGAATGACATTCTATTGTGTATGTATATCTATATCTGTATCTATATCTATATCACATTTTCTTTATTCATTCATCTGTTGATAGGTAGATTGTTTCCATATCTTGGCTATCATGAATGGTGTGGCTATGAAAATGGGAGTGTGGATATCTCTTCAAGATCCTGATTTCATTTCCTTTGGCTATATACCCAGAAGTGGGATTGCTGGATCATATAGTAGTTCTATTTTTAATTTTTTGAAGAGTCTCCATGCTGTTTCCATAGTGGCTGTACCAATTTACATTTCCCACAACAGTGTACAAGAGTTCCAACACTTGAACTCACACTTCCAACACAGCCTCACCAACACTTGATGTCTCTTGTCTTTTTTTCTTTCTTGTCTTTTTGATAATAGCTATTCTAACAGGTGTGAAGTGATATCTCACTGTGATTTTTATTTGCATTTCCCTGATAATTAGTGACATTGAGCACCTTTTCATGAACCAGTTGGCCATTTGCGTATCTTCTTGGGAAAAATCTCTACTGAGTTTCTTTGCCCATTTTTAAATTGGATTGTTTGTTTTTCTTGCTATCGAGTTGGAAGAGTTTCTTACATATTTTGGAATTAACTCCTTATGAGATAGATGGTTTGTAAATATTTTCTCCCATTTCGTAGGTTGCCTTTTCATTCTGCAGATTGTTTATTTTGCTGTGCAGAGGCTTTTAAGTTTGATGTAGTCCCACTTGTTTATTTTTGCTTTTGTTGCTTGTGCTTTTGGTGTCATATCCAAAAAATCATCACCAAGACCAACATCAAGGAACTTTTCCCTGTGGTTTCTTCTAGTTTTACAGTTTCAGGTCTTACATTTAAGTTTTTAATTCATTTTGAGTTAATTTTTGTGTGTAGTGTAAGATAGGAGTCCAATTTCATTCTTTAGCATGTGAATATTCAATTTTCCCAGGACAGTTTATTGAAGAACCTATACTTTCACCATTGAGTATTGTTGGCTCCCTTGTCAAATATTAGTTGACTATATATGCATGGGATAATTTCTGAGATTCTGATTCTGTTCCATTGGTCTCTGTGTCTGTTTTTTTTTGTTTTTTGGGGTTTTTTTGGCGGTACACGGGCCTCTCACTGTTCTGGCCTCTCCCATTGTGGAGCACAGGCTCCAGAAGCGCAGGCTCAGCAGCCATGGCTCACGGGCCTAGCTGCTCCGCGGCATGTGAGATCTTCCCAGACCGGGACACGAACCCATGTCCCCTGCATCAGCAGGCAGACTCTCAACCACTGCGCCACCAGGGAAGCCCTGGGCAGAGGATCTTAATAGACATTTTTCCAAAGAAGATATACAGGTAGCCCAACAGGCACATGAAAAGATGTTCAACATCACTAATTATTAGGGAAATGCAAATCAAAACCAGTGAGCTATTACCTCACACCTGTTAGAATGGCTATTATCCAGAAGGCAAGAAATAACAAGTATTGGAGAGGATGTGGAGAAAAGGGAACCTTCTTACACTGTTAGTGAGATTGTAAATTGGTGCAGCCACTATGGAAAACAGTATGGAGGTTCCTCAAAAAATTAAGAATAGAATTATCATGTGATCTGGGTATTCCACTTCTGGGTGTTTATCCAAAGAATATGAAAACAATAATTGGAAAAGATATATGCACTCCTATGTTCATTGGAACATTATTTATAATTGCTGAAATATGGAAACAGCCTAAGTGTGCATCCATGGATAAATGAATAAAGAAGATGTGGCGCATATATATATATATATATACACACACATACATACATAGTGGTATGTGTGTGTGTGTGTGTATCTTATACATATACATGCACACACACAATGGACTACTACTCATCCATAAAAAGAATGAAATCTTGTCACTTGTGACAACATAGATGGACTTTGAGGGTATTATTCTAAGTGAAATAAGTCAGAAGGAAAAAGACAAATGTCATATGATTTCACTAATGTGTGGAATTTAAAATGAAACAAAACCAAAATAAATAAATAAACAAATCAAAACCAAAAGAAACTCATAGATACAGAGAACAGATTGTTGTTACCAGAGGAGAAGGGGGCTTGTGGGGTGAGGAAAAGGGGTGAAGGGGGTCAGTTTAATGGTGATGGATGGTAGACTTTGGGGGTGGTCACTTTGTAGTATATACAGATGTTGAATGAGAGTGTTGTACACCTGAAACTTACATAATAAAAAGTATAATGATAAATACTGTTCTTACTTATATGTAGAATCTAAAAAGCATAACTTATAGGAACATAGAGTAGACTTGTGGTTGCAAGAGCTGGGGCAGGAGAAGAGGAATGGGGAGATGTTTGTCAATGGGTGTAAACCTTCATTTATAAGATAAATTCTGGGGCTCTAAGGTGCAGCATGGTGACTATAATTAACAATACTATATTATATACTTGAAAGTTGTTAAAAGAGTAGATCTTAAATGTTATCACCACACAAAAACAATGGTAATTATATGAGGGGATTGGGGTGTTAACTAACCTTATCGTGGTAATCATTTCACAGTATATATGTTTATCATATCATTACACAGCATACCTTAAGTTTATATATGTTATATGTCAGTAATATCTCAGTGAAGCTGGAAAACAAACAAAAAACCCAAACCTACCTGGTAGTTCTGCTTTATAGTTATAGATTCTGTCAGTAATTCCTTCTTAAGTGTTCTACAGAGCTGCATAATTCATAGCTAGTCAGCAAGTGGGGAATATGAAAATCTTACATTCTACTTTTTTTCAGGCTGTTCTACTTTTTCTTGGTACGTACATATGCGTTTATTTTTCTTGATATATACATATACATACATATATTCTATAGTCTGTATTTCTCTATTCTCTATTCTAATTACATATTGAGTTGAATACAATTTCTTGAGATGGGGGAAGTATATATAGTAAGTCACAGAGAGGGTCAATATCCCTATTGCACTTTAGTACATCTTAAAGTATATTACCAGCTTGTATGGAATTGTTATATTTGGAATTTGGGCCTATATTCACTATAAAGAAAAATATTTCTGTAACGAATTATTATTTACTAGGAAAGTTAAATGTAGTTAATTTAGTGACAATAGCTCAAAAGGCAAGAAATGCTGTATGAAAGGATTGGAACTGCTCTCTCTTTTATTAGTAATGAGTGTTGTTAGAGTTTCAAGTTACTAATGCATAATTCTTGTAAATTATTAATGTATTATATTAATATTATTATTAAAAATGAAGTTGGTTCTCTAATGATTAGATAAAATGAATATTAGGCTGAAATTCTGTTATTTAAGCCTGTAAGTATTGAATTGAAAATAATTGAATACTATGTATAGAAATTCAATATTGTTAAGGTGCTTTTGAAAATAGATTTACAAATTGATTTTATTTATTTATTTATTTTTGGCTGCATTGGGTCTTCATTGCTGTGTGCAGGCTTTCTCTAGTTGCAGTGAGTGGGGGCTACTCTTCGTTGTGGTGCACGGGCTTCTTATTGTGGTGGCTTCTCTTGTTGTGGAGCACGGGCTCTAGGCACACTGGCTTCAATAGTTGTGACACATGGGCTCAGTAGTTGTGGCTCGCGGGCTCTAGAGCACAGGCTCAGTAGCTGTGGCGCACGGGCTTAGTTGCTCCGCAGCATGTGGGATCTTCCCGGACCAGGGCTCTAAGCCATGTCCCCTGCATTGGCAGGCAGATTCTTAACCATTGTGCCACCAGGGAAGTCCCACAAATTGATTTTATAAGGTAAGGCATTTAAATAATTTTTGCCCATTCTACCACTTGTTTTTGCATTAAACTAAAAGTAGAGCACGCATTTTATTTGGATATGTAAAGAGCATTCATTTTTAATTAAGAATATATAAACTCACAATTAATTCATATCTACTTTATAGTGTTACTTTTATGTAGCTAATGCAATGTCATGTGACCAAATTATTGCACTTTGCTTTAACTAACCCACTGTTAACTTATAAGCTCGCTTTTGAAAAACATCAAGAATAGATGATTTTAAATTTTTCAATAGTGACCAAATTACATTAATAGCAATTGTAACTGAATTAATTTTAAATGTACAGCAACTAAATTGATTTTTTCTGTTTCTTTGTCTCCTTATAAATAAGAGAGTAAAATCTGCAGTTGAGTTGAAGAAGGAGACCATAACTCCATTAGAGATTAAGGATGACATGCAAAGCAATATGAAAGAGGTGATGTTTCGGAAAACAAAGGAGTTGGAGCACTGGATGGCTGAGCAAAATGAAACTGAGGAACCCGTCTCTGTGAAAGAAAATATAGATACTATCTTAGACAACACGCAGGGCAGATACAGTTCGAGAGGCCTGTCTCTCTCTCTCATTGAAGCATCTAGACAAGCTGGCATCACTTACATTGTTTATCCCAAGAAAAAGAAGATGAAACTGAAGAAAGGATTAAGACTCAGTAAACTTACACTTGTGTATGATGAGTTATCCAAGCCTCCAAAAATTCTTAAAAGGTCCGTTTAATCAACAATTGTTATAGTTTAAGAAATGTATTATGGTTTGCGCCTTAATTTTATAATTCAGTCATTGAAGGATCCTTTTGTGTGTGTATTTCCTGGGCCCATCTCTGGTACCAATTAATTTATCAGTCAGGGTCCCAGGAGTAAACAGCAGTCTCAATTTAGAATAATTCTAGGAAGGTATAACAAGGGCAATTTACAAAGATGTCAGGGCATAGGGAAACCACAAATGATAGAGTGGTATCCTGGGACTAGAAATAATAGAGCCAATCTCTACCCCTAAGCATGAGAGGACAAAAAGAGGGAGTGATTACTAGAACCTGGAAGAAAGAAATTGTAAGGAAAGGATTTCCTTGAAATAAGTAGTGAACTTTGGTCAAAGATCATGGCCAGTGTGAGGCAACCCTTCAGGAGGGGACCAGAGGAATAAATACTTTGACTTCACTCTTTCCCTTTTCAGGGCTCCTAATTGGACATATTTGATTAGAAGATAGCAAGGGATCCTGTGTCTGTAGTCTGTACGGACTAGTACTCCAGGGCAAAGAGCAAGGTAGAGAAGGATAGAGATAAATGTGCAGGTAGAAACAAAACCTATTTGGCACAGATGGTCTTTCTAAGGTGGCATTTGACCAGAAATAGTAATTGAGAAGGAGTCAGCCACTCAGAAGGACTGGAAAATGCAATACCCTTGAGGCTTGCTCTGTGCCTGGAACAGTGGGAGGCGAGAAAGCAGTGTTATTAGAGACATTTGCTGGGGTCTTATCGTGTACAGTCTTGTAGACTATGGTGAAAAATTTGATTTGTATTCTAGGTACTAGAGAAAACTCTTGGAGGGAGTGACATGATCTGATTTACATTTGTTTAAAAAAAAACATGCTAGCTGCCATGTGGAGAATGGATGAGACCAAGAGGAGAAGCAGGGAACTAAGAAGTTATTGTGCTCTAGACAGAAGAGATGATGGTGGCTTGCACTAGAGTGTAGAGAAGAGTGGGGAGTGTCACAGAGTAAGGAAAGGAAAGGGTACTGATTTTTCTCACTCTTATTCTCCTACTTTTAGCACGGGTCTTTCTCATAGTACACACTCGGTAAATATTAATGAAATGATGGGGTGTGATTTTTTTTTTTCTTCCCTAGTACAGCACCGGCATGCATAAATGCTACTGAATGAAAACTGTGTGGGAAATGGAGAGTTTGAGGAGGATAATCCTAGAAGAAGCATACCGTTTGAAAGCTTATTACATGTCATCTAATTTGATAGCCTACTAAGTTTGGGATGAAGTCTGGGATGTTTTTTGTTAGCCTGTTGTGGAGGCAAATCTTTCCTTCTTCCTCAAGTTCATGTCCTTGCGAACCATTTAGATGTCATTTCTTTTCTCACATCAAGTTTTAACTCCTCAATTCTCCATTGTATTTCCTCCGGTTGGTGGTAGGGGTGTAAATTAAGCCTGAAGGGAGCACTGACCCTTTATTTCAGTTCTCTACAAAGGCTGCATCTTTAATAACAGTCTTCTGCTTTTATAAACTCACAGAGATTCTTCATATGATCTCAATGAATGAACAGGAGGACTTGGTTTGCATAAAAGTACCATGTAATTTTATTTTGATAACAGAGAAATAGTAATTTTGTCTGTGGCTGAGTTGATTTATTCATTATAAAAATTATATTTCTGTAATTTAAAAACCACTCTTTTGAATACTAGATCAGAGTCTCACGGAATCCTTCCTGGACAGAAGAAATTTTTGCTCAAAGTTCCATTATATGAACGTCTATTACGGTGTCCCAGTCTACCTTTGTGTTTAAATTTTGACAAATTTGCCCAAAGTAAAGGAAGAATTCCAGAAAATAGTGGTCCTCAAACGTGGGCTCTTGACATGTTCTCTAAGCCTAAACAAAAGAAGACAACCCCAAGAGAGAAAGTTGTTAAAATATCTGTTCATGAAGACTCGTCTGAAAGAGTGAAAAAAACACCAAAAATAGAATTGAGTGATTCTTTGGAGTCTCGTCTTCCTCCAGCGGTCATTAGACATTATGAATCCGAAGTGGAGATCTTGACTGAAGAAATAAATAGTAAGAAGAAATATCCTGCATTTTTATATTGTAGGCGTGGAGCTCTTTATAGGAAACTGGGAAAGCTCCAGAGTGCCATGAATGATCTACAGGAAGTAAGTTTTTATTTAATCAAAATAATAATATTAACAATTTATCCTTGCTTATAACTATATATTAACTTTTACTAGAATTTTGAACAATGAATATTTGTATTATACACGTGGGATTGTGAAAGTATGATTATTGACATTTTCAAATAATTAACATTAAAAACACTTGATTTTGTCTGTCAGATTGGGAGGCATCATTTTATACTATACACATACAAAGCCATTGGGATCAATAATGTTTGAAAATTTACTTGATGGGATATCTTCCCTTAAATCAATTTAAATTGAATTTATACATTTATTTTCTAGGCTATACTCTTGGAGCCATTGTTTCTCAATGCCTATTGGCACCGACATTTCATTTATCTTTTCCAAGGCAGAATTAATGAAGCTTTGGATGACTTGAATTATATAAATAAATATAATAAAAATAATGCAGGTGGGTTGTCTGTGCAGTTATATTACTTAGATCTTTACCTAAGCTTTGGTCATTTAGTGGTATAAAGATACATAATTCAAGACATATACATCTCCACAAATGGTTGTGACTTCTCAAGTTAAATTTACTCTCAATAGCATATATTTAGGACTGTTTGTGATCCTATTGTTTTAAAAATACTTATCATGGTTTGAAATGTTAATGTCCTTGGTATACATGACAATAAATTGGTTCCTTACTGCTCATCCCGTAAGAAGAATATGAACTTACAATTTTTAGTTATAGAAATGATTTACAAATTTAGTCTGAATTAGAGTTGTAGCGTTCTTAAGACTTCACATTTACGTTTGTGTTTACGTACCATTCTCTAACCAACTTGAATGACTAGACATGGAACTTTTGGGGAATGAGAAAATGTCATATTCATCTTTGTATCTCCAGCACCCACAACATACCCCTAGAATATAACATGAGCTTAATAAGTGTTTTTTTTAAATCTATGCTGATCTCTGCTAAAAGTCCATAAGATTTTGTACCATCAAAATATAACTTTTTACTATGAATGTTAAAGGATTATGAAACATTTCAGATATACAAAAAAGAAAAGTTAATTTTTGTTATTTCATATTGAAATTGAAAACACTTTTAACCATAAACATTTATCCAGGCTTTGAGAACAAATTTTGCATTGTTGAAATAAAAAACAAATCTTAAGTTAAATGGCAAAGAAAGTATAATAGAGATACATTATTCTAAGACTGCATTTTTGGAGGGTGAAGGATTCGTCTTTAAAAATTTAGGACTGTAACACTAAATTTTACCTTCTTAATTTTCTTTAGAGGCATATATTTCAAGGGCAGAAATTTTCAGAGGAAAAAAAGACAGTACTTTGGCAATTCTAAATTATACTCAAGCAATTAAGTGCAAGCCCATGGATGCTGATATATATTTCAGGAGGGGTGAGATGTACGAAATAGAAAACAAAGTACTGGCCATTGATGACTTTACTAAAGTAAGCTGTATCACATATAATTCTGCCATTTATATATTTTAGAGCATGATATTCTCATCCTAATATTACAGCAAATTGTTGAAATTCTTTCATATGTTATATAATCAAAATTAGTTTATTTTAGATTAGGCCCTAGAACATTTGTTACTGGGATTGATATTAACAGTATGTCAATGATTTTTTTGAATGGATGGATTTACATCTGATTCAGGTGTGGGAGCATTGAGGCAAGAGGCAACTTTGAGAGGGACTTGACTTTTCCAGCTCTCTTCTCTTGGACTATGAAGCAGAGAATAAAGAAACCTTTGAAGATTGCTTCTTTCTTTCAAACAATGGAGAAAATCATTTTCTGCTTCTTAACTCTTGAGACGTAGCTGATTCTCTTCTGCAGCAAACCTATCTGCTTTAAAAGAAAGCTGTGCTCACTGGCTCATTCATTCATTCATTCATTTACTCACAAATATTTATTGGCTAAGGCACTGTGTAGTGTTATGTAGTGGATAAATCTTGGTGAATAAAACAGACATGTTTCATGCTTACATGGAGCCTATAATATAAAGGACAGATATTAAAGAAATAAATATATACACTAATATATAATTACAAATTGTGATGAATGCTATGATGGAAATAAAGATTATGGGAGGCAATTTATGTTTGGTTGGGGGATATCAGAGAATTCCCTTGAGGAAGTGAATTTTAGCTGAACTGTATTTTGAGGCTGGAGTCAGGCAGATATTCCACTGATTGCGGCAGAATTGTAACCATGAACTCCTGACTTTAAATTAGTAGTTCTTAGTACAATTGAGAACTTAGATGTTATTGAAATAATTTAGCTTTTCATGTTCCCAACTGCCCTGTTTCTTAATCTATGATGGTTAGCCACATACTTGACTTTCTTTTGCTTCAAGAGAATATTATAAGTTTTGGTAACTTCTTGTCTAGAAGTGACCACAAATCTCTTTTGAAGATATTAAAATTATTAAAATATCTTTTCTGATCATTTCCTTTATCTAGCACCAATAGTTTAAAGATTGACTAATGCAGCAACTTGAGGTCAAACAAACTTCAGAATCTTTAGAGTTTTTTTTCCCTGTTTTAAAAATACTTCATAATCTTTGTACTTCATTTTTCCCCCACTATCAATAGGCAAGGAACTTTACAACTGAGTTTACAATGATTTAGTCTCGTTACTCTATTGCCTTGTATGTCAATGTGAAATGAATGAACCATGCCAATACCAATTCATTTCTTTTCACCATTTTAGGGACTAAATTAATCCATATTTAATTTCATTGAATCAGCCTTGATGTGATCTAATATATATTGTCTTGGAATAAAATGCTATGATAGATTCAATATAACCCTACTCTAGCTGAACAATTACTTATGAGGTTTTATTAATAAAAATTTTAGTGGGCAGAAACCTTGGCTTCTTGTATGTGCTGGGTTTTGTTTTTGTTTTTTTTAATAAAACCTCCACTTTCTAGAATTTGATGACAAATGGACTTCCTAAAGGCATGGTCTTCAAATGCAAATCTGAAAGTTCTGGCATCTTAAAGTAGTTTGTTTTTATGTAATCTGAAGTTAAAAACATGGTTTTAGTCCATTTAATTTGCTATAGGATTATATACTTTTCTTGTTTTTTTTTTTCATTATGTGATATGTTTTTGTGCCTCCCCTCCACACCCCCGTGTAGTGTATCTTTTATGATCCCAGAAGAACAGATGCATTATTTAAACGTGGGATGTTCTACTATGAAAATGAAGACTGGATTGCAGCTGAAGAGGATTTTACAGCCTTGTTAAATATAGACCCCCAAAATTCTCAAGCAAGGTGAGAATTATTTTAGATATGGTTTTTGAATGTTTTTTTTTTGAAATACATTCTCAGGAAAGAAAATTTCTTGAAATACATCAGACAGCCCTTTAAAAGTAGTGAATCGATTTTTAGTGCTACTAGTGAAGGAAAATCTTTACCTATACCCTAAGAGTAGTGGGTAGTTTAACTTAAATGGCATGAAATGATAATTTAGAATTGTTTCATTTGCATTTCCTGAATACTAGTTACATTATCAGTTTTTGAAGTATTGACCTATATTTTGTTTCTTTGGATTTCTTTTCATATACTTTGTATTCATTCAGTACAGAGAACTGTTCATATAGATTTCTGTGCTGTCTTATTGTAACTGGGATATTAAACTTTGCTCTTCCAACCTTATTGTGCATAATACAGTTTCCATTTTGTTGCTTTTCTTTTCATCTAAGTTTTGTTTTGAAGAGGCTTAAAATGTGTATGTAGCCATACCTATTCATCTCTTCACTCACAGTTTTTGTTTAACATTAACATTTTTATAGAAAAATACAGCAAGCATCCAAAAAAAGTATACAAAGTACAAACATACAGCTTAATGACTTATCACAATGTAAATGCTCGTGTAACCATTATCAGGTCAAGAAACAACATTACTAGCACCCCCTTGTGCCTTTGCCTTCCTGAGAAGGTAACCACTGTCCTGACTTGTATTTCTTTATAGTTTCAACACATAAGTATGTGTCCCTAAACATTCTTGGTTTAGTTTTGCCTGTTTTTTTTGAACTTTATATAAAGAGAATCATAAGGTAGTTTTCTTTCAATTCTAACTTATTTCATTGAATATTATATACTATTGCATGTGGCTGTAGTTTTCTCCTTTTAATTTTTGTATAGTATTCAGTTACATGAATATATTGCAGTTTACTTATCCATCCTACTGTTGATGGACAGTTGAGTGTTTCTAATTTTTGATGATCACAAATACTGTTTCCTTCAACTTTCTTGTACATGACACACATATACTCATTTATGTTGGATGCACAAGTAGGAGTAGAACATATGGTACATAGGGTATGCAGTTGTTCAGCTGTAGGGCCAAACTAATTTTACAAACTGTTTGTACTACCAGCAGTATATGCAGGCTCCACACCAGTACTGGGTACTATTATAACTTTCAAGTTGTAGCCATCCTAGTGGGTGTGTAGTATTATCTCATTTAGTTTGAATTTTCATTTTCTTCATTACCAACATGATTATTCATTTTCAAAATTTTCTTAACCATTTGGATTTTCTTTTTTGTCATTGATGACTTTTGGGTTGTTCGTCTTTTTTCTTATTGATTTGTATGAACTATTACATATTCTTTTTTTTTAATTATTATTACATATTCTTGATATGGGCCCTTTGTTGGTTATATTTACAGCACATTTTTTTCCTCCTCCAGATTGTCACTGCACTCCTTAAATAATTGTCTTTTGGTAAACAAAGTTTTAAAATGAAACATAGTCTGATTTAGTAACGTTTTTCTTTAAGGTTAGTGCTTTTTGTGTACTATAAGTAAGTTTTTCCTACTTTTGTGTCATGTAGATATTCTCCTGTCTGATCTTCTAGAAGGTTTATTGTTTCGCTTTTAAAGTTAGATTTACAGTACACCTAGAATCAATTTTTGTATATGATGTGAAGTAGGGAAACAAATTTCACTTTTTCAACATGCGTGTTCAATTTTCCAAGCAACATTTAATAAAAACCCTGTGCCTTTACCATCGCTTTGCAGTGTTAGCTTTGTAGGAAATGAAGATCCATGTATGGGTGGATCTATTTCTCAGTCTCTTTTTCCATTTTGCAGGTTTTAAAAAAATCTATCTTTGCACCAATACTATGCTGCCTTAAATACTATAGTTTCATAATAAGTCTTGAAATCCAGTAGAACAGTTCTTTTGATCTGTCAGAATTGTCAGAGCATTCCTTGGCTTTTTTGCATTTCCAAACACATTGAGTTGGGTTAAACTATATGAAAATTGACTTCTTTATAGATCAAAATAGTAAAATTTCAAAATTTCATACGGTTTGACCTAACAGAATCAGCAGGTCAACTTCTGTGGCAATTACTTTGTACTTTGATTGGGGTTGCAATGAATTTATAGAGCAGTAGGGGGAAATTGACATCCTAACAATTTTGAGTCTTTTCATGTATGCATACGGTACATTCTGTTTCTTTAGGTCTTCATTCCTTTTGGTCAGTAATGTTTCATAGTTTGTGTAAAGAAGTCTTTTTCATATCTTTTTCTTTTTTTAAATTAATTAATTATTTTTAAAAACATCTTTATTCGAGTATAATTGCTTTACAATGGTGTGTTAGTTTCTGCTTTATAACAAAGTGAATCAGCTATACATATACATATATCCCCATATCTCCTCCCTCTTGCATCTCCCTCCCTCTTACCCTCCCTATCCCACCCCTCTAGGTGGTCACAAAGCACTGAGCTGATCTCCCTGTGCTATGTGGCTGCTTCCCACTAGCTATCTGTTTTACGTTTGGTAGTGTATATATGTCCATGCCACTCTCTCACTTTGTCCCAGCTTCCCCTTCCCTTTCCCTGTGTCCTCAAGTCCATTCCCTAGTAGGTCTGCGTCTTTATTACCATCCTGCCCCTAGGTTCTTCATAACCTTTTTTTTTTTTTTAGATTCCATATATATGTGTTAGCGTACGGTGTTTGTTTTTCTCTTTCTGACTTACTTCACTCTGTATGACAGACTCTAGGTCCATCCACCTCACTACAAATAACTCAATTTCGTTTCTTTTTATGGCTAAGTAATATTCCATTGTATATGTGCCACATCTTCTTTATCCATTCATCTGTTGATGGACACTTAGGTTGCTTCCATGTCCTGGCTATTGTAAATAGAGCTGCAATGAGCATTTTGGTACATGACTCTTTTTGCATTATGGTTTTCTCAGGGTATATGCCCAATAGTGGGATTGCTGGGTCGTATTATAGTTCTATTTTTAGTTTTTTAAGGAACCTCCTTACCATTCAACATCGTGGCTGTATCAATTTACATTCCCACCAACAGCGCAAGAGGGTTCCCTTTTCTCCACACTCTCTCCAGCATTTATTGTTTGTAGATTTTTTGATGATGGCCATTCTGACTGGTGTGACGTGATACTTCATTGTAGTTTTGAGTTGCATTTCTCTACTGATTAGTGATGTTGAGCATCCTTTCATGTGTTTGTTGGCAATCTATATATCTTCTTAGGAGAAATGTCTATTTAGGTCTGCTGCCCATGTTTGGATTGGGTTGTTTGTTTTTTGATATTGAGCTGCATGAGCTGCTTGTATATTTTGGAGATTAATCCTTTGTCAGTTGCTTTGTTTGCAAATATTTTCTCCCATTCTGAGGGTTGTCTTTTCATCTTGTTTATGATTTCCTTTGCTGTGCCAAAGCTTTTAAGTTTAATTAAGTCCCATTTGTTTGTTTTTGTTTTAATTTCCATTGCTCTAGGAGGTGGGTCAAAAAGGATCTTGCTGTGATTTAGGTCATAGAGTGTTCTGCCTATGTTTTCCTCTAAGAGTTTTATAGTGTTTGGCCTTACATTTAGGTCTTTAATCCATTTTGAGTTTACTTTTGTGTATGGTGTTAGGGAGTGTTCTAATTTCATGCTTTAACATGTAGCTGTCCAGCTTTCCCAGCACCACTTACTGAAGAGGCTGTCTTTTCTCCATTGTATATTTTTCCCTCCTTTATCAAAGATAAGTTCACCATAGATGCCTGGGTTTATCTCTGGGCTTTCTATCCTGTTCCATTAATCAATATTTCTCTTTTTGCGCCAGTACCATACTGTCTTGATTATTGTAGATTTGGAGTGTACTCGGAAGTCCAGGAGCCTGATTCCTCCAGCTCCGTTTTTCTTTCTCAAGATTGCTTTGGCTATTCAGGGTCTTTTGTGTTTCCATACAAACTGTGAATTTTTTTGTTCTAGTTCTGTGAAAAATTTCATTGGTAGTCTGATAGGGATTGCATTGAATCTGTAGATTGCCTTGGGTACTATAGTCATTTTCACAATGTTGATTCTTCCAATCCAAGAATATGGTATATCTCTCCATCTGTTTTTATCATCTTTAATTTCTTTCATCAGTGTCTTATAATTTTCTGCATACAGGTCTTTTGTCTCCTTAGGTGGGTTTATATCTAGGTATTTTATTCTTTTTGTTGCAGTGGTAAATGGGAGTGTTTCCATAATTTCTTTTTCAGATTTTTCATCTTTAGTGTATAGGACTGCAAGAGATTTCTGTGCATTAATTTTGTATCCTGCTACTTTACCAAATTCATTGATTAGTTCTAGTAGCTTTCTGGTAGCATCTTTAGGATTTTCTATGTATAGTATCATGTCATCTGCAAACAGTGACAGTTTTACTTCTTCTTTTCTGATTTGGATTCCTTTTATTTCTTTTTTGTCTCTGATTGCTGTGGCTAAAACTTCCAAAACTATGTTGAATAATAGTGGTGAGAGTGGACAACCTTGTCTTGTTCCTGATCTTAGTGGAAATGGTTTCAGTTTTTCACCATTGAGAACAATGTTGGCTTGGGTTTGTCATATATGGCCTTTATTATGTTGAGGAAAGTTCCCTCTATGCCTACTTTCTGGAGAGTTTTTATCATAAATGGGTGTTGAATTTTGTCAAAAGTTTTTTCTGCATCTATTGAGATGATCATATGGTTTTCATCCTGCAGTTCATTAATATAGTGCATCACATTGATTGATATATTGAAGAATCCTTTCATTCCTGGGATAAACCCACTTGAACCTGATGTATGATCCTTTTACTGTGCTGTTGGATTCTGTCTGCTAGTATTTTGTTGAGGATTTTTTCATCTATGTTCATCAGTGATATTGGCCTGTAGTTTTCTTTCTTTGTGACATCTTTGTCTGGTTTTGGTATCAGGGTGTTGGTGGCCTCTTAGAATGAGTTTGGGAGTGTTTCTCCCTCTGCTATATTATGGAAGGTTTGAGAAGGAT